TAGGAGTTGGCGGTGGGTTGTGATGACTAGCTGCCTTCCCTCTAGTCTTACACTGCTAAATTAGGGACGGCTAGCGCAGATAGCCCTCGTGTAGCTTTGCGCGAAATTCAAAATAAACAAACAAACAAACTGTCAAACTAAACATGGTGACCTTAATTAAAGTAAGTCATTACTAAAAGAAGTCCAAGTAGAACTGAAATATAAAAAATTGTTTGAATCCAACAGGTAAACTCGGTTATTTTGTCCAGTCAACAGCATTACATTGTGATCTTTGTTCTCTCACATCATTGATCAGCTGTAGCATTTACAAGAAGTTAAACCAGCCAGCAGAAGGATATTAAAAATGCCAATCTTTTCAAACTATATGTTATATGTTACTCCTATATCCTCTCAGTCAGAACAGACGTTATCTATTATAGAGAACGATGAAAAAAAGCAATTAGAACAATGCAATATGAACGACTTCCTAAACACATGTTTAAACTAAAACTGTATACCAGCTAAATACACTATTTTTTTTAATTCTTATATAGCTAAAGCAGATAAGAAATATATGATATCCCTGCATACCACAGTTGCTGTTTGTTGCATCCTGTGGTCGGTGGTTCGAAATTAAGGACTACATACTAACAACTATGCAACAACGGGACTCATAATTGGAGGAGAAACAACCTGTATATTGGCCAGTACTAATCTTTTCTAACATAAATTAAATGAAATGATAGATTGTTCGAATTGCTTTGTAATTTCACTTGACTCTGTTTAGGGTTGGGCATTACTGAATGGTGAGTGTGTCAGACTTTTGATCTATGGTCCATTTTTTGCATTACATTACAGTGGGTGCATTATAAGAATGATGATCAAATATATTTATTCAACTAGAATAGATAAAGTAAGAGTTGGCATTGGGTGCTGTTGCCTAACTGCCTTGCCCCTAACTCAAGTCTATTAATTTAAAATTAGGGACAATTAGAGCAGACAGCCCTTTGTAGTTATTTTTTCGAATGTCCAATATAAACAAACCTAAATTTGTATATAAGTAAATGTAAAAGGGGATAAACATTAAAATATGATTTATACTGAACTCATAATCTGTCTCCTTTCTTCTTTACTATGTACACAAATTTCTCTAACAATTGATATACATTTTCAAAATGCAATTTTTGCATCTGATGTGTCCTTCTGAGAGTTTATAAAGCTAAAAATCGGGCTTCGATACCTGTGATGGGTAAAACACAGATAGCCCATTGTGTAACTTTGTGCTTAACAACAAACGAACAAATATCCAATGTTTGTTTTTCTCAGTTTTCAGCTAGACAGATGGTACATCATATGTTCAAAATGACCACGATCAGCATTTGAGCTTTTGTTGTTGTTGTTTGTGTGTGTGTGTCTATTTGTGTAAAATGCGTAATAAATTGCTGTTGGCATTATTATCAATCAACAAAATGATTAGCGTGTTTGTACATGTCATGATATAAAAGAGTGCTTTGTGTAGATATTATTGATTAATTTATTTTATGAGTGAATATTTTATGATTGTTTAGTTTTGTTCATAACAAGAGAGTTAGAAGCAATTGTTTTAGTTTAAATGTTATGATAAGCTTAGTTACGTAACTCGGTAAGAGTCCTACATTGTGTTTATAACTTATTTATGTCGAGATTGTAGGATGTCCTGTGAAACTGATTGATTCCGAGGATATAGCGAGCAAACGACTAAGTAATAAACATATAAATAGTGTGAGCTGAGTGGGAAAGACAGACAGAGCAAACGGAAGACCAGAGAATGGGAAGTAGAAATGCTGCCAAAGGAAAGGTTAGAAAACGAAAGTTAACTGTCGTAGGAGTGGATAGCCTAACCATTGATACTGTTACGACAGCGGAAGTCATGCAACGCTGGGAGCATGCGCGCTGGAGTTTCTCGAAGGATCATGAATTTTCCTGGCAACTCTAGTTTGTTCCAGGCGCCTTCTTTTTTTTTAGTATATAAGCCCGACAAATAAAGCCAGCGAAAAAAGAAAGAATTGCATAGATAGATAATTGAGTCACAGTAGGCACCGTAAGTAAAGTGTGTGAATCACTGTGATTCACAGTGTGTGTTATAAAGGCTGTTAAGTTTAAAGTGACTGTGGAAATTAAGTGTATTACAAAGTTTGTAACGAGAAAGAATAAACAAGTTTTAATCAAGAAGGGACTTGTATCGCTGAAGTAACTCGGAAATAATTTTTACCGGAAATTAACAAACAAGCAGATACGTAACAAAATGTTAAAGTGATATTAAGTTTTCTGACCCTCTAAGATAATAATGTGTATCGTCAAAGGGGGTTCTAAACCAATTTAACCTGCATGTGTGGACTTTGACAAAAAATAGACGATTATTGGAAATAGGCCTAAATACGAAAAAAACAGACGAGTATTGGAAGCTTAGGATACAATTGGAGTAACTTAACGAGCCTGAGTAAGTGAATTATACACGTAATACTAGTGCGATAGAAGTAGAGAAAAATAATTTGGCTTTTCAACTGAAATTCAAATGCAATTGATTTAGCCTAAGTGGACTTTTGACAACAAGAAGATAACTATATAGTGTTTATGATATGCCTATGATCTCTATAGTGCAAATAATTTGTTGTACATACGTGTAACCAGTTCGAATGCCTATATATAATTTTGAAGACTAGTGGGGTGCTTGTTGTTCGTTTATTTTTGAATTTATCGCCAACAAGACACGGACACTTACTGTAGAAGAATCCTAAGCCTAACAACAACAACACACAGTATATATTTATACGATTAAGAAGTATAAGTAAAAGCCTTTAATTGACAATTGACAAACATCCTCGCCGGGCCCTCTTTCTCTCTCTCTTTTTTAACATTTTCAAGAATTTATTAAAAAGAAGATCCTAAATTAGGACAGCAATGAGCTCATAAACCAGAAATAATCATAGCAGCCGTTTTTACCTCACAGTAACAACAAATATCTATTAAGTCTATAAACTAACAGATACATATTAATTATTACTCAAATTATTATTTCAGTCGTTCTTAAAGTATCAAGCGTCTATATGGAAAGAAAAGCCAAGAACTATGGTTTATATCATTAAATGAAAATATAGCCTGAAGATGCTTTGTGGGCTTTACGGCATAACCAGGTTTCATTCGCCCTGGCGGGCCTGTAAATAACATAACACGTGTACTGGTGCTAAAAAGTTTCTTCAACTTCAAAGTTAGTTTGTTTCATGATACAAAAGCCATAGTCAAATATGCTCTATTTTTCCTGCTTTATTGAAATTGTTTTTTTTATATAACATTTATGGAAGGATCTCTTGAATTCATTGTTTTTAAATTCCTTCCAAAACTATATTATCTCCTATTTAATTAAATAATATGCTCTTTTTTTCCTGCTTTATTGAAATTGTTTTGTTATATAACATTTGTGGAAGGATCTCTTGAATTCATTGTTTTTAAATTCCTTCCAAAACTATACTATCTCCTATTTAATTAAATAATTGCTATATAACGTATTTCCAGCTGGTATTGTGGCAAGAAAGGGAAAAACATTTTTTTTTAATCACATGATCTTGACTTATTTTGTGAGACTGTGAAGTTAGGTGCTAATTGATGAACCGAGTAGCTTTGGGGAATATAATGTACGCTAGGTTTATACTTTATACGTATTGTCAGCTTATATTATTTACGATAGTGTGTAGAATTTTATATGTAGTTGACGTCAAGGCTTCTTTAATTGTTAGTGGTTTCCCATGTTAATAATAAAAAAATAGCATGAACTCTAACTAATAGTAGTAATACTGAGTAATAACTTGCATATGATAAAGTTAAACTTTAAAGTGAGCTACCACATAATTATCAACCTCATTCAGGTCTAAAAGTAAAATACTTTAAACAGTAAAAATTAAAACCAACCAACCATGCAGAAAACATTTGTTGACATTGTAAAACATGTGCAAAGAAAATTTTGTCCAAAAATACATTTTCGATATTTCTCTGTTCAGAAGGCCAATATTCAGTTTACTGCAAACGAAAGAATGAACTGTAACAAGAATTTGAAGAAGTATGAGCCTGGTTCTTTGGGGATTGCAGGATTGTCTTCATTTACTGGTAGCAAAAACAGTAAGCCAGTTGTATATGTGTCACGACCAGATATTCCTTCAGAAGCTATTAATCTTCTAAAGATTGAGTATGTGTTAAAAAATAACAGTGTCTTTTTGGTGATTGAAATAGATATTATTTGAACAACAAAGTATGTTTCTTCAAACTAGTATATTGTCACTATATGTATTATATTAACGTAATTAAATTACAGCCTACACTAACAGTACACACCACAAATAGGTTGGCCTTTGGGGTTGCTTTCGTATCTGTAGATGTGATTAATTTAAGGGAGCTTAAAAGAAGGTTTGATAAATACTGAACAGAGGTAAAGGCTGGCTTTGAGTGTCTTTTTATTTTATTTTAGAGTTTATTATGGTGGATAGAATGGCCTAATTGAACCAAATTGTTTTTATATTTATGTATATAATATATATGTATGGAACTTACAAGAAGAAGATTAGTTGTGTAAAAGTAACATCCAAAGACACAGTTTATTAGGCTGGCATTACTTACTGTCATACTGTGAGCAGACAGGATAAGATATTCCATATTTATTGTGGAAAATGGTGGAAGTTCTGGAATATTAAATCTTCTTAAACCACAAACTGCATGTCACACATTGATATGTTTATATATATATGGTTATTCCAGATTTATTGTACATTTTTTTTATGCAGACAAAGTAAAGAAACAAGCAATCTGGCACTAGAGAAAGATAATTGTGCAAATAATATAAATTTGTTTACTACTTCCAAAGTGATCAGTTTTATTTACATCATGCTTTAGGTGTGATGTGCACATGTGGACAGAGGCGAGACCAGTTCCACGTGAAGAACTTCTCAAGAATGTTGCTGGAAAAGATGCATTATACTGTTTAATAACAGAGAAAATTGATGCTGAAGTACTTGAAGCAGCTGGTATAATATTTCAGTAGAAGAACTCAGCTTCATACCTTATTTGATTAATGATTTTTTTTATGATTTTTCCAGGATGACTAACTAGATTGACAACAGCGTTTGGATATTGTCTGATAGATGGGATATCCCCAATGCATTTGGGTGCTATTACCACAGACATTATCCATTATGACAAGTTGACAGCCAGGACCGATAACGGTATTGCGATATATATATATATAAGGAGAAATGGAAGAGGTTGGGAGTTGGAACTTTTTAAGAACTTTTAAGGTAGGGTTTACAGTTCTATTCAATATTTTATAGTTCTACTTAATATATTTTTGTAAAGGTGGAAGTTGGGAGTTTAATTAGTAGAAATATTAGGGTGGCTCCATTTCATTTCATTTCTGCTTTAAGAAATTTAAGGGTAACTGTCTTCCCACAACTGGTTTTATACAGTGAAAGGCAGTAGAAGCTTAGATGTTGTGGGTGTAAGCACTCAGCTTTGTAGCCTTATTTGATTGATGATTTTCCATGACATCTGACTAGATTGGCATCGGCGTTTGAATATTGTTTGATAGATAGGATATCCCCAATGCATTTGTGTGCTATTACCACAGACATTATCCATTGTGACAATAAGTTGACAATCCGGACTGATAATCGTATTACGATATTTAATTCATTATTATTTTATAGTGCTGATTTAATCGCCTATAAACAATTAATGTAATCAACAGTTTGTAAGCTATTTATTTACACATATATATATATACATATCTTTGCATTCACAATAGATTATCAAAACTGACTACATGTACCATTAACAACAGTTTTTGTTACGTATCTTTTGATGCACCATTCTTGAATTTAACTATGAAATGATAATAGATAAAATATTTCCTATTACCTTGTTTTATCTGATTATTCAGCAAAAATGAATAAATTAAAACTTGTGTTAAGTATTTACACATGGTTGATAAAATTTGTTATTTTTGAGTTATTGTGAAAGTAAGACTACTTAAAACGTGCTTTTGGTAAAGTTGTGACAAAACATTTATTTTAGGTAAAAGGGAAATATTTAAAAATAATATATGTATATAAAACTACAGTACTCTACATCTGTAATATTATGTATTTATATAAGTATTACTATACTTAGATGAAGAAATAAGCTTGCTTTAGGTTAAATTGTTTTATACAAGCATAGTGATATGCATGTATAAAAGTAGGATTAGTTTTAATCTTTCAGGTATTATGATATGTGTGAAGTATGATTCCATAGTTTGTACTGCATATACTGAAATCACAAATTTTGGTGAGTCTTGCAATACATAATTACGTTGGATTGTGTTAGGTGATAGGGTATCAATCTTAGGACAAGTGTATTGCAAAGTGTACTGTGTTTTAAATTTATTATTTACATAACCTCTAGACAAATAACACAACAAGGAACCATTTCGTCCTTCGAGGCTGTCCTTGCACACCCACCCTTGAGAAAAGTAAAAATTCAAACCCACTTTGTATTTTTCAGGAAATCATTACTTTCAATTTTAAATTCATGTAAAGTGTTCTCCTCAATTACTGCTGATTGCAACTTGTTACATAACCCTGTTAAAATAGTAAGTTTCCTAACTGTGGCCTTGTTCATTTTTTCTAAATCTTAAGACTTGTTATCTCTTCTTATTGATTTCAGAATATAAAACAGATTAAACTACTTTTAGAAAAAATAAACGTTTCAAGCAATTGCTATTGGTTGTCTCTGTTTAATTTTAGCATAATAGAGTTTCAGATTGTGTTTAACTTTAAACTTGGAAGTTGTTATTCAACATATCTGTACATAAAATGTATGGTGCTACTATAGCGTGAGGTCTACCGCCATATGTCGCCTATAGCGTGAGGTCTACCGCTACATTATCCATCCCTCTTGGATATCACACATTTCCATACATTTATTTTAGCGATAAACACTTAATTTGATACTATTTTATACATGTTTGATAGACCTGGGTAGGCGACATATGGCGGTAGACCTCACGCTATAGTAGCACCAAAATCGTATAGTTTATGCACTAAGTTATAAGTAAATGAACATAATAATCTTATTCATCACTGTTTGATTAACTTTTTTTGTAATTATGGTTGTAGTAATAGCTGCAGAATGTTTCTAACAACAACACAACAGGAAAATTTTATTTTGTTGAAAAAATAATTTGGAACCTACCTCATATAAGAGCTTCGGAGATAACCTGTTTCAAATGGTTTTAAATTTCTTTTAAAGTTTCATTACTTATTTAAACTTCTTTGGATTTGGACTAACTTAAGAAAAGATCTGAATGTTTCTTTTGTATGACATACAAATATATATATATATATTTTTTTTTAAGTAGCTTTATTTATTCTATAATCTAATGAATTTTCTAAAACTTAACTAAATACTATACTATAAAAATTTCAGGGTGGCCATGAACCTGAAAACCTAAAAATAATGTGGTAGAAAAAACTCGGAGAAAATTAAAAAAGACATTATCCCAAACGTAGAAAGGTCACAGAAAAATGTAGACCCCTTCTTTTTTCTCAGAACCAACATATGCATGCACACTACGCTGCTTATAACTATATGCCATTTATGGGTGCATTTTGATGTCATTGTCAGTCACTGTATTTACGAGACTTTTGCTTATTACTTGTGATGTGATCATTTTTTAACTTTTCTTTATCCTTCAAATGTGGTGTGCACATCTGATAATTATTTGATCCATTTTATTAGATGAGAGGTTAGATCAAATATTTTTTCAAATAAAATGTGAAATTTTATTATTTACTAGTAAGTTATGATGTTCTTGTTTGAAGATCTTTTAGTGCAGTAGTATTAGGAAAAATTGAAATATCAATGTTTTATGTGTGTGTGTATGCAGGCCTGGAAAATCTAGAATTTTTACCGGAAAGCTAGAGAAAATGTTTTAGAAAGAGTATGATCACCCTTAAGTCTTCACTTTATTTCCTTATTTAAGATACTCTCTCTAATATTTCTAGAAAAGTAAAGTAAAAATAACACTTTGAGAATGAAATGTAGATTAAATATACTAATAGAGTAGTGAGAGCTAAAAAAATATTGTTTCACTGAATTGAGAAACTGTGAGGAGAAAAATAATAACATTATTTCAAAACATTTCTAAATTTTATGGAAAATCCATATAGAACTGTTACCTACTGGAACTTAAAAAGGTAATTTTAAAATTGTTTATCCAAAAAACTAAAGTGTTTGGCTGATGAATTATATTTGATAAAAATAGTATTGTTGGGTATCTGCTTGTTTGTTAATTTCCGGTAGAAATTATTCCCAAGGAACTTCAGCAATACAAGTATTGTTGGGTATCTGATTGTTTGTTAATTTCCGGTAGAAATTATTCCCAAGGAACTTCAGCAATACAAGTATTGTTGGGTATCTGATTGTTTGTTAATTTCCGATAGAAATTATTCCCGAGGAACTTCAGTGATACAAGTATTGTTGGATATCTGCTTGTTTGTTAAATTCCGGTAGAAATTATTTCCGAGGAACTTCAGCGATACAAGTATTTTTGGGTATTTGCTTGTTTGTTAATTACCGGTAGAAATTATTTCTGAGGAACTTCAGTGATACAAGTCCTTTCTTGATTAAAACTAGTTTATTCTTTCTCAATACAACTTTTTGTATTACACAGAATTTCCACAGTCACTTTAAACTTAACAACCTTTATAACACACACTATAAATCACAGTGATTCACGCACTTTACTTACGGTGCCTACTGTTTGCTTGACTCAACTACCTCTCTTCCCTATCTTCAATCCCGCGGGTTTTTCTTGTCAGGCTTATATACTAAAAAGAGGGCATCTCAAATGTACTCGACCTTCATGATCTTTCAAGAAACTCCAGTGTGCATGCTCCCAGCATCACATGACTTTCGCTGTCGTAACACTGCCCCTTCCCTCAACACGAACCACTACTGGTTCCCCTAGGCTAACTTATTGGTAGTGTTCTTCTTACACTGGCTCCTCATATGTCCTTGCTCTCCACAGTTTCAACAATCTTTCTGGGTAGCAGCCTTTCCTCCCGTATAATTTGTAAGAATTGTTAGAGTCATAGAGTGACCCAATAAATTTGCGATGCACCAGACATTAGCTGCACACAAGATGTGAAAAGTATGCAGGAGCTCAGGGACCACTTAAGAGCATGAAAACTAGAGGGTTTATAAAATGCTCTGAGATGAAACCTGAGGTTCTTCTTGAGTAAAATATGTTGAAAAAACTAATATTTTTCTAACATGTTTCTGAATTATCCAAGAAAATACTTAGGGCCAAAACAGGGAGAGAGGGAGAAACCATTTAGGTAAAGAAGTAAACTTTCTGTAAATCATAAAATATATATATATATATTAATTTTGCCTTTCTTGAAAAGTTTCAAAAACAAATTTTCAGTCATTCAGTTGTAAACCTCAAAAGTATGTGTTTGTGATTAATTCTAGTAAGTAGAATGTAAATATTGCCAAATTCAAATGTATTATCAATAATTTAAAATGTTAACAAGTTGTAAATTACAAAACTTTACTTTTTATGAACAGATTAAATGAATTATTAGAATTAATTTCTCCTTATCTTGTGTCTTGCTTATCATCACAGTCTTTGGAAGAAAAGTCTTAGAAATTATAAGAAAGTTCCCCATTGGCCAGAATTGCAGATTGACTGGTACCTTAGCCAATCATGATTCTGAGAAACACTCATTACTAGTAGTAACAAAAATAGAACATTCATAATTGCAATGGATCAGCAGTGAGTGTGGAAATATGCTAACACAGCATTCAAGCAATGAAACAGTTCTAGGAGCAGGAATAATGATATTGGTAGTACTTAGCATATAGTTTTTAAAAATTGGTTGTACGTGTACACTATTATGCAGTATTAATACTACAACCCTAAAAACTCTTTTTCTTGTTATTTTTATTAGGACCCAAGTTAAAAGTTGTAGGGACAATGTCTGTAGGATGTGACCACATAGACCTAAAAGAATGTAAAAAAAGGCAAGTCATTTACTAACAGTTTAATATATTATTAAAATAACAATGAAGTACATTATATGGATTTAGATGTTTTATTATGTAAAAAAATAATGTTTCTATAATTACAATATGCAAAAAAAATATATAATACAGAAACCTTAAACTTAAATAGACTTACTAACTTTGCAACTTCTGCAGATCCCTCAAATAATCTTCTTGATGTAGCCAATAACAAGGCAACAGTTAGTTCTGCCACAGCATCTGTCAGCACATCAGGTGTGTGTCCAACAAGGACATTTCTAGTGAAAGTTAGATATAACTCTATGTTTAACTGTGTAAAGATAATTTAAAAATACAAATTTTCTATCTACTCACACACATACAGTCGTACGATCTTAGTATTGAACTAATAGCCCTATTCGTTCTATTGGAGGAAACAATAAAACATGATTGTTTACTCAAAGATGTGGTATGTTCAACTTGTATGGTATTTTATATGTTACTCGGGTTAAACAGCCAGGTCAGAAACCCCCTAAAATTCAGTAACAGATATCTTTTTTTTTTTTTGCTGCTGACTAGAGAGAATTATCCACCTCCTACGTAGCTACTTTTAACCAAATAGCAGCTATAACCATCATGGTTATAAAACCTCCAAAACTGAAAATGTGGAGTTTCTTATAAAACATGACAGTTTCGACTTTGGACCTTCCAATCTTCATCAAACCACTTACCCATGCCCAGCCAAATACTGAAACTTAAGACAGGTACTTGAAATGCCTCTCCCATAAGTTGTATTTTAATAGACAGAAAAACAGCAAAATGTCACCAGAACTGACTCTAACACAGCAACATGTAAAATTTATGTGCTTTCTAGAAAGAGTTTCATAACACCACCTTAATGCATCTAAACAGAAACAAAATTATTATGTACATGCAGAAACAGTAAGTATCACTCTGTAATTTTTATTTAGGGGAATTTAAAATTGAGAAAATAATGTGACATGTGAGTATGATTGATGATATATTTGTTTTAAGCAGTGGAGGATGGCTAAAGTGTGGGTGGAGTCCACTGTACATGTGTGGATCTGCCCTGAAAGGAAGTACAGTAGGAATATTTGGAATGGGGAGAATAGGTAATTGTTTATTTTCTGTTTTAATTAATCTGAAATATAAATGGACCTACCTGTTTTTCATCTTCTGTAACATTTGTAGTGTATTATCTCTATTGTCTGAATATATTGAAGTTATTCAATGTATTTAGTGTCTTTTATAAATAAAAGAAGAAGAAATAAAAAAAGGTAACTACATAAATATAACTTCTTGTAACTCTTTATAAGGAGTCTACAGTTTGTGAAGCTGGGTAACTTTTGATAGCAGTTATGAAAGATGAGTTAAAAGTAGTTTTTGTTATGAAGAACAAGTTCATAAGTTTTGTCAAAAATACCTTTTGCAGGTCAAGCTGTTATGGAACGTCTAAAGCCTTTTAAACCCAAACAGATTTTGTATAATAGCAGGTCAGAGAAAGGTGAGATATTAAAAGATTAAAATAAATACAATTAATAGTTTTTTCGGTGCATTATGTGTATTTTCTTAACTTATGGAATGTTAGAAACCTTGAACAATTAACAAATGTGCTGTATTATTTTCATTGGTTTTATTACACAATTTTGTATTGACTGGTGCTGCTACTAAAGATGGAGCTGTTGCAGGGCCAAAAATGATGTACATGTGTACTGCTTACTATTATACATATAAAATGTGATATGACTGTACTCTTTTCTTAAATACTAAACATACTTTAAAAGTATGAGAAAATTACATTCTATGAAACTAAATTGTACAGATTATACAATATAGTCTTTTTTATTTTAATGTGAAACATGGAGTTTCTTATTGAAAAAAAAATAACATATCAGATGTTAATGTCTTTTACTTAAGAGACCCGAGGTTCAAGGATTTCTAAAAAAAATTTCAACACTTTATTGAAACTAAGGTATTGGATTCATTCATATCATATCAAACTACATTCAAATCTCTGAACATTCATTCATGTGCCACATGAAGAGAATTTTGTAAGATAGTAAACCAATGTATAAACATTTTTAAACTCTTACATTGGAACAGCTATCTGGTATCAAAGCCCCTTTTCAAACATTAATCAAAGTTGTTTGAAATACAGTATTGTAAAGACTCAAGCTGATGTTTTATGTAAATTTATAGTTTTTTTTCATTACAGGTTATTATTATAACAGTGTTAAAGATAATTTTTGCTCAAATTGTCAACAGAAGTATTTCAAATTTTGCACTCCTGAAGTAGGCTAGACATGTTTATTATATTAACATTGATAAAAGTTTATAAATTTGTTGCATTGGAAGCAGAAAAAGACCTTATTAAGTTGCTTGGGAAACTAAGAGTATGACATTTTGTTGTTTTGAAAACAAGTCAAGGACAAACTAACCTTTTTTCTGTTCTTTAAATTCAGGGTATATTGATGGTTCTGATTAACCATAGTAAAGTTCAATACATTAATCACATAGGAGATTAGCAGTATATTTTTATTTTTACCTACACCACTTCAAAATTAGTAAAACATGATACTAAATCTGAAAGCTTCAACTCGTCACTTCTTTTGTGAAAATACAGTGTTAGTATTAACAATACAGAGAAATAATGGTGAGGCCTGCTCATTATTTAATAGTAAGTAGCTGTCTTTAATGGACTAGGTTTTTGGCCTAATGTTTAAATAAAGCCTTTTTTTCCCTCTATATTTAAAATGTAATTTTATATATGTTTTTGTATCTTCTGCCTCAGTTTGTCAGATAATTATTGTTCTGTGTCTTCTGAGTTTTTCAACATATTTCTTTCTGAGAATGCAATAATAAAGTAAACAATATTCTCTCTTCTAGGAAAAGAAGTTGAAGCAAGTTTTGTAGATTTTGAAGAGCTGCTTTGTAGGTCAGATTTCTTGCTTGTTTGTTCATCCTTAAATCCCAAAACAGAGGAAGTGTTTGATGAAAGAGCTTTCAAGCTGATGAAGCCAAATGCTATTTTCATTAACACAAGCAGGTTGTACATGTTTGTAACTTTCTCTTTTGTGTGTGTGTATATTTAGAAAGTGTATAGTTTGTGTGCGCTTATTTGTGTACAAACCTATTTTTCTTTGATCTTAAAGTATTGATAAAATCTAAATGAGCTTGTAATCATGTAAAATAATTATGAAGGTTGAGTAAATATTGTTTCTGTGATTCAAAACTTACTTTTTCATACTAATGATTACTGAATGAAACATATTTAAAAGATTTGTTTAAAATTGATTGGTACACTTGGGGTTTTAGTTTTGTTATTTTGATCACATATATAAATATATACAAGTATAGAAAATGCAGTGATGATTTATTACATGATTAAAAATTATAAATTACATTGCCAAGTGCTAAATTAATTTGATATTCATAACTAATCCTTTTTTTTTTTTGTGACACAAAAAATATAATTTGTTTATATGTACAAAAGTTTGAAAACATTTTATGCTTTAGAATATATTTGGTGCCTCCTATTGTTTCAGCTGAAATTCTGGTTTTGGTATTCACAGTTGTTACAATGCAGATAGCCCATTCTTTAACTTTGCACTTGACAAAAAACAAATATATATATTTGTTATGTAAATTTATAAGTCATATGTGAATCATGGGGTTTGACAAAAATGTTTCAATAAATTTAACATTTGCCATTGTGTAACAATTGTATTATTTAAACTAGATAAACTTTAATGTTAGCATAGTGACACAATCTTGTGAATAAATGTTTCAGGGGTGGCACTGTTGTGACACAATCTTATGAGTACATGTTTCAGGGGTGACACTATTGTGACACGTTTTTACAAATACATGTTTCAGAGGTGGCACTGTGAATCATGAAGCTCTTTACAAAGCTTTAGTAGAGAAAGAAATTCAAGCAGCTGGTTTAGATGTTATGACACCAGAACCTTTGCCTCTTGACCACCCTCTTACAAAACTCTCAAACTGTGGTAAGTTTAAATAATTATCTTAGCAAGAACACTAAATAGATGTATACAAATAAGTTTGTACTTACCGTAATAAATTATAAACAAACTTTGATTTAACAAAAATACATTTATTGACAAATTATGATTAATTACAGAATGTTTTAATTACACAACGTGGACCGAAGTGTAGTAAAAATTGCATTTTCTATATAAATAATATAATCGTTATCTTCAGGTAATATTTCAAAGTATTTCATTTGGTCAAAGTTTTTATTTTTAGTGTTTCTTATTGTATGAGCTCCTCATGAAGGAATGGAAATCAAAACATCGAGCCAACAGAATAATTTGAAATAATTTGAAAGTAAAAACAAGTAAATTTTTTATACAGAAGAAAAATCTATAATTTCAATAAGTAACAATAATAATGTTTAATTTAGCCATTCCTTTAATGTTTTTCTAAAGGCAATTTTTTTTTTATTCACAAATCACTATGGCTTGGCTCCAAAGAAAATGAGATGTTTATACAAGGGTTTTCTTTAGCTTTAGGAATTTTGTAGAGGAGAACCAGTATGGTGGACATTGTAGAGTATGTGTTCTGTTTCATCCTGATGCAACTAACTTTTGTTAAATCCTTTCCTGCCATTGATCACTGTAGACAAGTGAAGCATAGATACTGATAGTATCTAGACAATGATGATATTTGGTTCATGCACAAAGCTGTAGGATTCAACAAGATCAAATGATTGGAAAAACACAATTCCTATATAAAGTTGTAGGATACAGCAGTCCTAATAGATAGTAAAAACAATACGTATATAAAGCTGTAGAATACAGTAGTCTTAATACATAGGAAACATTTACATTATATTGATATGGTCATTTTTACTGAAGTTTGGTTGCATTATAATTATTAATTATGGTAGCTATAACATTAACAATAGTATAGTTTATTTGTTTCTTTAGTTGTTTTTTTTATCTGCCAGTAGCGTAATCACAGTTTGGTGATTTTTCACTTAAAAAGTTATTATTTAAAATATCAAATTTTTAATACTTTTCAAGATTGTGATAATAATAGTTAATTTTTAGAAGTCTGTTTGTATGTTTGAATAATATTTTTACCTTGATTGTGTGTTAGCATGTATTAAATTTGTAAATCAGAATTTTTTTACTACTGTATAATTTTTGTATCACACATTTCTATCTTTCTTTCAGTCTTAATACCACATATAGGAAGTGCCACTGTTGAAACTAGGACTGCCATGGCCATGTTGACCTCTCAGAACATACTGACAGCTTTGAATGGGTCTTCCATGCCAGCTCCAGCATTTTGAAAGCCATATAAACTATAATACTGTGACATTTTTGTTAACAAGCCTCCAACAGTCCATAAAGAAATAGTTTCAGGATTTGGAAAAGTACATAAAATGAAGGATTGTTCTGATGTTTATTTCCAAAGTTCAGGCAGGAGTTTGAAACTCCCTAAATTTTGAAACCCTTTATAGTATTGGTTTCAAACTTCTTATAATAAACAGCTACAGGATTTAAAACTACATAATTTGTAAAACTCTTGCCAGTATTGATTTGAAACTTTCGGCTATCTAATAAACAGTTCCAGGATTTAAAAACTACCTAGATTTTAAAACTGTTGCCACTATTGGTTTCAAACTTCCAGCTATCTAATAAACAGCTCCAGGATTTTGAAAACTATCTAAATCTTAAGAATTTAGGCAGTTTTTCCAATCTCACAAAAATATATGAAATCATTCCCATATTTTGAGACCAACATGAATTATTATTTTCTAACCAAACCTCTAGTAATGTATAAGACTAAGAAAACAAAAGCCTCTGGTCTTTATCTGTGACAAACTTTCATGCCTTGTGCCATTTTTATTACCATGCCTACAGAGTAATACTAATATAAGTTTATATTATGGTAATAATGAATGAATGAAAACTATGTTTCCAGTATGGAATATTTTGTTTCTACTTCAACTCAATATTATAAATTTGGTGTATCATTTGTGCATGCTACAACTCTCCTTCAAAATTTATAACTACATTTTTTCTTTCTTTTATTCTGTTTCTTGGTTGGCTTTATCCTCTATTCTCTCCTAATGTTGACTGAATAGTGTGTTAGGCCTTTCTGATATTTAATTACAGTGTAGCATGCTTTCAGTTTTCTGCTATGGTCAAATCTATTACAATGTTTTTAATGGTTAATTAGACATTCCAATAAAATGACTATAAAATTAACCTCTTAATATACTTTCAGTCTTATATGTAACACAACTTTGATTTTTATTTTAACCAAGTTTTCTTGTTCCATTTAGCTACTTTACTAAATTTAGTTCTACTATCTCAGCATATGCACGATTTAGTGCATGCATTGTACAAGAAAAATGGTGTTTTCTAATAAAACCTAAGAGTGTCTGACTGTTCTTTAGAAGAATACATCCATTAGAAGCCTCTAGTGTTTTTCAGTAAGATAATATGAAAACAAAACATTCCGCATAAATAATTTCCCTTTATTTACAATATCTGTCTTTTAATGATAACATCAAATTAACAAGAATATATCAAGTTTTCTTTTTTCGTAATAAAAAATATTGTTTCTTGCTTGAGTTCCTAATTTTTTTCCAAAAATATAGATATAAGTGATAAAGAGTATTCTGAGATGCAACTTGACACGTGTAAGAAAATTACAATAGAAAAATAAGAATACTCCTCTTGTAGCTTTTCTTTCACTGTTACTGAACCATAAATCAAACATTAAAATTTCAAAATATTTGTGATCATCCTCACAAGACTTTTGCAGAACCAGAACCTGTACAATGATTGAAGTGTATATTTGAAACATCTTTCAGCTTGCAAAGTGCAAATCAGCCCAGTTTAACTAAAAGGTACAAAAAAGTTTAAACAAGGGTGCTTGAAACCCAATACTAGGGTTGAATACATTATATTAAAACGATTTTGGAGCCTCACCGTCTAATTCATGTCCAGTCATCTCTCTCTGATGACTGTGCAGCTTAACAATAGCTTTGCAGCGTAATTTCCATTGACTGTCATGTCCAAAGTGCAGTGCTCCCCTCTGATTCTTTTCATAATCCTTCTAGTATATGAGGAAAAAAGTTTCCCAGTGCCCTTTTCAAAAGTCTGATCTCAAAGAAATTCATAGAAATTATATCAAGTGACTTGAATGGTATGTCTTTGTATGTAATAATATAAATACCTGTATCATTCCCTAGTTGTTTTGAGCATATGATAATTGAATGGGAGGTATGACTGGAAGCCTTACCATGATGAACCCATACCCTACTGTGACCCCATTTGCAGATTCTCCTTGATTATGATGCATAAGACATTTGGATGGGTTTTCCCACAGATGTTTGTGGGTTCTCACCTTTTACAAGATGCCAAACTTTTCTTACCACAGATGGGGTCTCACTTGTTGCAGGTTACTTTCAGGATGATCATGGTGCTTCATGTTGATTCATATTTCTTTTCTTTTCTTTTTTCAGTGCTATTAAGCACAAGAGATAACCCTTTCTTGGAAATTCTATTTCTGCTATCTGAGTACATTTTTATAATCTAGTATGTGTATCAGAAACGTCTGTTACATACCCTACCATAAAGAGATTCAATTTTCAGTTGTATCACACTATTTATGGAACACAAAAAAAAGTGTCAAGATGTAGATCTGATACATGATTATTTCACTGTGATTTATATAGGGTGAGGTTATGAAAATCTGTTTCTGATGCCTGGTTGTTTGTAGGTGAGGTTTCATCACATAGGTATTCTGTGTTGAGTAGCAAATTTTTGGAAATGTTTGTAGGAGAGGAGCTAGTAATTACTCTATAACTTGTGTATGAATAGACTCGTGGTGCTGGCAGAAAGCAAAACTAATGTCTTTATTTTATTAGAAGAAACAGCTTTCAATAAGGAAGAATATTTTTAAAACCAGGTACGACATTTTGATCACTGGTGCGATCATTCTCAAATACACAGGTACAAAAACGTGATGAATGAATGCCTAGAACTGATTTGTCTAACATTACCAGTTATAAAAAATCCATGTTATACTAGTATTTTTCTCTGACATTAGACTGAAAATGTTAATTTTATGTAATCAATCATTTGTATGATGAAACTAAATTTGTTTTAATAATTATCGATCTACACAAAGTACTGCTTTCATTTTACCCACTGGCTACTTAACTTGAGGTTGTTTTGAATCTTTCATTAAATTAATGACACGCATATCTACCGACTTAGGTCAATCTCCTGTTCAGAGAGGAACCTTGGGAGATAATATATTTCAAACTAGCTTGAGTACCCGTCTTTGGGCGGAAATTATATAGATTAATGAAAGACTATCTTAAGACATGAAAAGTTGCTTCTTTTGTATGTAACTGTAAAAAAAAATGCTCTTAAAAACTGCAAAACAAAATGTGAAACCACAAACTTGCATGTATCTCCTCATGGGACCAACAAACTTTCATGTCAAATTTAGTGAAGATCTATCCACAGGGGGAAAATTAGTGGTAAAAAACGCAACGACACCCATAAAAACCGCATAATGCAAAACTGAAAATTTGAATGGACCTTATCAACATCCACACCCTGCGAAGCATTTACTTGTAATCAAAATCTATATTCTAAGTGTAAAAATATTGTGAAATTTTGCACGTAAATGGTCGCCATGTTCAAAATTAAATATTTTTAATACTTGTGCGGCTACAAATAAGGAAATTACAAATGCAAAATAAACAGACGATAGACACAAGAGTTTCTGAAGTGTGCACAAAATACTTACCATACAGCGCGAGTATTATCCAAACGTGTACTGCCCAACGTAGTTGGTGGCACATATCGATATCTGATGACCTGTAATAAAATAACATTAAAAATGCGTTCTTACATTTAGTATTAATAATTAATGAAAGGGGGCAGGGCAAAAACTAAGGACATCATGGTTGTATAAGCTAGAGGCATTAGATAGATTAGGTTAGTCTGTGTTAACCTATCGATTTGCTATCTGTGGTAGGAACATGATATCTTTCTTTATAGATAATGTTTAAGAATAAAGTTTATAATAATTATACATAGGCTGTTCCTAACAACTTTCACTAGCTGGCTAAATGGCCTGCAATAACGTCTGTCTGAAATTATTTAATTCAACACACTTTTCTTAATGATAAATGAAGTAACCTTTGTCTAATGGCTAAATTCAGCACAAATAACAATGGTCATTAGTGTATTTGTTTGTGGTTAAGCACAAAGCTACACAAACGCGGTTTCTAGCGTTGTAAGTCCGCAGACATGCCACTGGGAACCCAGTCATCAGTAAGCGTATTTTTTAAAAACTTAACCAAACTGTAGGCACATTAATGACTTGGTACAAACTTCTTGTCGTTTTGTAAATGCTACCAAAGTGCTGCAAAACAATTTATGAATATATATAGATAGCTCTAAAGACACTAAATTAAACATTAAGATATTATATGTTTCCTGATATTTTAAACTTAAATATTAGAATTTTGGAAAGAATTATTAATTTAATAAACCAATGTTATGTTAAAAATTACGACGAATCAAGGCATAGACATGATTTTGTAAAAACATGGAGGGTGTTGAACATCATTGTATTTATAATCGCTTCACCATCTTTAAATTTTATTCCTTATTTACCTTTTAACAGTTTTTATTACTGTCTTTGGTATTACGTCATGTGAATACATGTTTCAACTACATCAGTTTGATTGATATCCGTCAGGGGGCAAAGTTAAATCTTTGGCACATGCGAATGGTAAAATAATTTTAAGATAGATTTCCGAAAAGTTAATTGGATATCACGTACTCGTAAGCAAGAAGTAGCGAAACGAGAAAGTAAGTTCTTGCTTGTATGGTGTGTAGATTTTAGGTTTGTAAGTGTTAATAACTTGTAATACTGGTAAAAAATATTCACTGTACTAATTTGCGTATGTTATTAATAATATTAGGAACAACTGAATGATTATGTAAACATCACAATTTATATTTTTAATGTTTTTAAAAATAGTTAAATTTTTAGGTCATAAGCTTTTAGGCTTAAGCCTTAAGTAGGTAAGTTAGTAAATATCTTTTTGCTCAACTACGTGATCATTTATTCTTTAAAATGTTTAAGTTAAATTCAAATACCTGCATATGAGGGTAGTGTAGGGATATTACAAATAGTGAAATACAAGATTATTATCAATATTAATAATAACAGTTCATTTTGTTATTCAGATTTTCATAACTAACTACCATCAGTGGTTTTAATGTTCTGATTGAATCTTAAGCTAGGGCTTTACTCTGACTTATATATTATAGTTAAAGTGAAAATAAATTGTTCATCATTATCTGTGGAAAAGTGAAATGAAAAATGGAGAAAAAGAAGCATTTTAAGTAAATGAACTGCAGAACAGAAGTTAATTTTTACCGGTTTACTGTTTAGGTCATCATAAAACTAAAAGACAAGTCAACCACATAAAAATGTTGATATTGATATGCATCAAGATTCCAAGCTAAACGTGGTTGTGAAAATTATGTTTATTAGTGTTTTAACTTTCATAAATCCAAGCTTGATTTAAATACATTAGTTAGCTCAAGTATTATAAATGTAAATTGTAGAATAGTTCACTTTCATTTGTTTTTATTTGGAGGACAGAAAGTCTAGAGATGATATGATTCAGATTGGGTACCTTTGGACAGTTTTTATTATTATTTGTTTATAAAACTATTTGTGACTTGAATGTGAAGAGTTAATAATTAAGTGTAAGATTTTGAAAACCAAGATCTAGACTTAGAATTGTTAACTTTAAAATAGGTTTTTGTTGATTTAGTACATCCTGATAATTTCAATTAAGTGTATACTGGATAAATATCTAAATAATTAAATATGGTAACTTGTTAGAACTTGTATTTTGTTGTTTTATAGTAAGGAGCAAATTTAATGGTGCTTATAGTTTTTAACAGTTTTTTTGTAGTAAAAAATTTGTAATATTTCATAATGTTTTATATACTGATTTAAGTTGAAGAAAAATAATAAAAGCTGTATTTAAGTAAAAAATAGTGGAATGGAAAATATTTTACAGTTAAATTGTTAGTAATTAGCTTAATATTTACATAATCTAAAACATTAGATCTGTAGATCAATTACACAAAAAATGTAAAATGGTATTTAAGAAATAACTATTACATACAAATTTTATGTTATATTCAACTGGTTTTTAAAATTTAAATGTATGGTGAAAGGAGCTTATGACTTAATAACTTAGTGCATTGATGTGATTTTATAATAGAATTATCTTTTTGTTGAAATGAATAAAAACCCTATAACCCGAGCACTTTCGAAAGGTGGACCTTTCTTCTTCAGGGACAAAGTTTAGTTGTGCATTGTTTTAAAAACAATTGGATGTGACGAATATGATCTAGAAGGTTGATGATTTTTGTTGAACTTCCAATGGATGAACTGATAATTATGCACTGTAAGCATCCAACTTAGAATACTTATAAAAGTATGAAAGTTGCTTACCCATTAATTTTTATTGAACTTTTTTTTTGGAAGCACCATATTCTTTTTCTCATTTATAACTAAATCAATTTTATAATGATTTTAAGAAAATTAAATCATTTTGCAAAACAGTCTTCATCTAGAGCAATTGCAGAGGCCAACATGGCCTTTTTTTTTACTTTTTGATGTCAATATCAACTCTGGATGTTGCACATGTTGAAGAGACGTATTTTAAATTCCTTTGTGTTGCTGGAATATAAGGAAAGAGTTCCATATGGCACCCCCACCCAAAAATTGCAGAATTGCCTGGATGAAAAAGATTCTGAAAAGGGTTTATTTTAAGGGGCGTATTAGAAAAATTGGGGCATGGCTTTTTGGGGTTTACCAAAAAAAAAAAATGTTCCAAACTACTTTGGCACCCCCATTTCCTTTTGACACCCCTATTGTACATCTAATTAATGACGTAAGTGGTATAATAATGTATTAAAATTATCATATCATACTATTAATATGATTTATTAATACATAATACCCAAAAACATACAAGCTACATTTGCACAATGTACATATTTTGCATTTAGCCAACAAAAATAAAATGTAGTCTAAATTCTTAAGAAATCACATTTATATTCGGTAAGAGTTCCATGTGGCACCCCCCACTCAATTTTAAGAAAAATTCATCAAAGTAATATTTAAGCCATATAGTTTTGTGACCAGTTAAGATATGTATTGTTACATCTACAAGTCAGATTATTTATTGAAGAATTTATTGAAATTAATGAGACTGTGAAATTGACTTTAAAAGCAACTTCTGTAGTTCATATTTTGGTAACAAATATAAATACAAAACTTAATGCCAAATATTAAGTTCAGTCACTTGAATTTAATTTTATGTGTAGTAAGTAACTATTGTCATATCACATATGAACTAACATTTATTAGTTCTCTTGTATTTGAATATAATTAGCTGTACTGTTAGAAGTAAAAGGAAAACTAAGGACATTTGGCAGCATTTTCAAGAAGTAATGAGCTGTTGGAGAAAGGGACTGTGTTATAGAGTGCTTACTATAATGGATGTAGCATGTATATACGTATCTATTTATGTATGTGACTGAAATAATATATATACAATGTGATACCATATATTGAATGGTACTACAAACAAAAATCCATAAAAAAACTTCCACACTTTGGGTATTCAAGATTCAGACAATTAGAAAAATAACTATGGTATGTGCAACAACCATTTCTTTATCACAGAAAACAATTTTAAATAAAAGTACTATCCTCATAACAAGAACACAACTTTCACTGATACTGTACGTGAAGGTTTAATTATATTTTTATTGATGTAATTTCTAAATATAGTGCTAAAAAATTGAGTTCTTAAAAATCATTTTTTCAGTAAAGGGTACCACTTTAAATATACAAAAACATTACAGTTTGTATCAGCACAATCCAAACACATTTTCCATGTAGTACTTCCAAGAAAGATCCTTTTTTAGAAAATGTTCACTTTTTTCCAAGTTTTTGTCCATGAGGTATGAATACTACAGTTACTAATTACTAGCACAAACAGCTGCCTGTAGGGTGATGTTTCTGCTATTACCAGAAAAAACACTGCATGTCTTTATCATTTAAATTTTACCTTTTGTTTATCAGTCTGGTGTTGACGTCTGCCTTTACGAATTGATTTTGTACATCATTTTGGTTTCTTGTAATTTAAATATGTTATATCAGTTCATTAACTTCAAAGAGTAGTAACATGTTTAGAACTTTAAATATAGTGTTTTTGTATGTTTTCAGGCACTTCATCATGCGTTTGTTGCTACTTTGTATCATTTTAAGCCTGACTTCCATAGTATTATGTGCTAACCACCACCAGGCAGAAGTTGAAGACAATGAATTTGCTGAATTTGAAGAATTTGATGAAGATGAAGTGGTACAAGAAAAAGAAACTAAAGATCAAACTGAAAGTAAACCCACACCTGTAGATACTGCTGAAGAGGATGAAGATGAAGTCAAAGTTGAGGCAAGTGATGCAACCAGTAAAGGATGAATCTATAATAATGATTGAGAACGTAATGTGAAGGGGTGACTACAACATTTACAAAGCATCAATTGTTTTATTAGGTGGGAGTATAGTCATGATAACCAGAAAAGATAACTACATTTCGCTTATTACATAAAATGAACTTTGTGGTTTCAGTAAGTGATGTTATCTTGTAACTTGTGTCTGCATTCCTATTATTCATGTCTTAGTTATTTGTATATAAGCTTATGTTATTGTAAAAAGAGAACTAATTAAAAATAAATATAACAATTTTTAGAAAAAATAGGGTGAAAAAAATTTTGCTAAAAGAAACCATGAAAGGGATGATTATTGTATATTTTTTTTAGGGATGAATTGTAAGCAGTCTACCTTTTGAATGTGTTTGGATCATGCGTAAATCCACACATTACATACTGCCCTCAAGTTGTCATTGAGGGGGGAGGGGGAATATTGCTGTTGCTTTGTATATTAATTCTCTCAGTTGGTCTCAAAGACATTCTGAAGGGGTGAATTAGAAGCAGTTTTTTTTATTAATTCTCTTATGAAGTAAACAGTCTACCTTTGAAAAATGTTTGGGTCATACATTAAATACTGCTCTCAACTTGTAGTCATTGAGTGGGGGTGGTGGTAGCATATTGCTCTTGCTTTGTATATTAATCCTCTCAGATAGTCTCAGAGACATTCTTAAGGGGTAATATCTTGGATATGAGTGGTCCATTACAAACTATGATTTGTGCTTTTTTTGTGTGGTAGGGAGCATTGTTCTGCTGGTATATGTTAGTTTACTGACCAAAAATTGCACCATGGCTCTTGGATCACATTCATTTTAAATTTTACAGGTATATAAATGTGCAGACTTCCATAGTTTCTTCCCAAGTAAGCAGAAATTTCAGCTTGTATCAGAACAATCCCATCATTGTCTCCCGAATCATGTTAAACCATCACTTTTAAAATAAGTAAAGTGACTTGCTTTTTTTCCAAAATACAACAGATTGTCAGATCCTCAGTAATGACAGCTTTTCATTGAGTAAAATGGTACAGAGCATTCATGGAGACAGTGAACAATTTTGTTTCATAACCCATCTGAAATGTTCACATTCATGGAGATCACACTACACAACTCTCCTAAAGAATATCTGTTTTAATGTGGCCACATTAATATAGTTAACTCACTGTGAATTTATGTAAAGGATGACTTATAATTTTATAGTTTTAACATTCCAGCACAATATGCTGACCTGTATTTTGTAGATTGTATTCTTTTAAGTTTCTTAAACCTTTGAACAGCTTCTTACACAGTAAGATTGTTCATGACCAAGCATTGTCACTGTTTTTTGGTGTGTGTTTTCCCAGTTTTATGTGCTTCCTCTAGCTTATAATGAGCTTTTTCTTATGTTATACAAGTCAAGATATTTTGCATCTTCACAAACTTGGATGCTAATGTTCGGTTTTGTATTTACTGGATTCCCTTGGAGAGAATACTGAGAAGGTGCTGTCACGTGATCAATATGTGTTTGGATATTCTTGGGCAGTGTATATAACTAACTTATCAATGTCTCATGACTACTGTCTTGATGATTTTTCCCTTTACTCATATTTCAGTGGATGTTTATTCTCTGGCTGCAATTACTTAGTCTGAGCTGATGTTTTCATCCTTGAAGTTCATATAATTTGTGAGATTTGAAAATTATTATTTGAATTAGTTTGAATTGTTAAAGATAGTTTCTTTGGGTGCACTGCTTATTGTGTGACTGGAAAAACTGTGATTTGAAAACATAGTTTATAAGTACACAGTTCTAAAATTTGGAAAATATGCACATAGATTTTTCGTGTGAGAGAAGTATTTGAAAGCAAATGAGAAACTGTGATTTAGATGTGATCAAAAAGAAGACTTTTGGTTATCATGATTTTCATTGTAGATGAAAATAACAAGAGGGAATCCGCAATAGCTGCGGCACTTGAAATTTTTTTAGGCAGGATTAGAGTAAATTAATCTATGAGGCATTTTCTTTTCATTTTTATTAGCTATATTTTTTGTGCACCAGCCATACCAAGCATGGGGTGCTCATATACCCAATTCAATTTTATTACTCTATCAGCCTACCCTCAAATTGAAATTCTTTTATGCAGGATTAGAGTAAATTAAGCTATGAGACCTTGGGCATGGTTGAATACATCAATCAAAAACATTTGGCCTCCTGAGTCCAAAACTGTAATTAGATCTTAAATTGGTCAAGAGATGATGGAGCTATGAGCTAAAAGTTTGCCATGACTAAAAAGTGTTATTCATATATAAATTTTGGAATAAAGAGGCCATTAGGAATAATTTGATTACTCATTAATTAGAACAGTGTGAATAATTTGATTACTCGTTAATTAGAAAAGTGTGAATAATTTGATTACTCATTAATTAGAACAGTGTGAATGATTTGATTACTCATTAATTAGAACAGTGTGAATAATTTGATTACTCATTAATTAGAACAGTGTGAATAATTTGATTACTCATTAATTAGAATAGTGTGAATAATTTGATTACTCATTAATTAGAACAGTGTGAATAATTTGATTACTCATTGAAAGAATGTGACAGAAATAGGTAAGAAAGAGTATGTAAGATACTGAGGTCTATAATATCTGACTGTGAAACATGGAAGAATTAAATGTGATTTTACATGGTTGTGTAAAATGTGCCTTGAATGTTAGGTATAATCTTTTGGAACATAGTTGCATTTGTTTATTGTGGCATTTCTTAAATACATTTACACTGAGACAGTTGTTAGTAAATTTTGGGGTTTAGAGCTGTTTTAACTGCATTACATTTTTCAATTAAGAATTGAGCTTTTAACATCCTGATATCTGTTTTTTTTCCATTATGTCTGTGGTTTTGGATATCAAATGAAAAACATATTCCATTTCTATTAGAATTTACTACCAGTCATTTTTCACTCTGGAATATGATTTTAATTTTAGGAAGAAGAAGAGTTTGATCATTTTAGTGATGAGGAAGAATTTGAGGGCTTGGATCAAGAACAATCACATCAAAAAATTAAACCTGAGAAACCTGACTTAAAAATAACTAAGGTAAGAAGAGTGAATTTATGTATCCTTAGTTTTGTGTTTTCTTAGGTTCTGCACAGTTGATTAACTTTAGAAATACTATGTAATCTTTTTTTGCTTTTCAAGGAGTATTTAACATGTTCAATTGTCTTGACCTAATAGTGAATGTATTGCATTTCTTTATGTCACAAAATGAAATTTTCATGTGTTTGGTAAAAATAAGTTTTTGTTACAGTATAACAGAGCTGAAAATTATCATTATCTGAAGAGTTGTACCACATACTGCTTTGTTTTGCTGTTCTATTGAGGTTAGATTATAGATCTGTTAACATTGTCTGGATCATAGATGACCTTTCAGTTGTCAAGAGACTGATAAAGTAGAAAACAATTGTAGATTTAAGAAAATTGTTTTCAGGATGATTTTCAGTAAAAAATTTTAGTAGTCCCAGGTATTTTATAAGTACAAAGATTAAAGTATATTTCTGTAAGCCATAACTTTGTACTGGTGATACGAATCAAGAGCTGTTTTTATTTTTACAGATTAGTGTCAGTTATGATGATGTTTTCTGGCTCAAGATGTAAATGTGCAGTATAGCTTTAGTATTTATAGTTTTATCTTTTAGGTTCCTCTTCATTTGCGAAGTAACTGGGAAAGTTTTTATATGGAGTTTTTAATGATTGCTGGACTTTTGGTGTACTTCATCAATTTTGTGGCTGGTCGCAACAAGAACCAAAAACTAGCAATGGCATGGTTCAACTCTCACAAACATTTATTGGAAAGTAACTTTGCTTTAGTTGGTGAGTTAACACATTATTACACAAATCATTTATTGTAGTTGAGATAGAAAAATAGTAATTTTATTTTATTTTTCTGTCCTGAAAATAAGTAATGGACTTTCTTCTTCTTGTTTGAAAACCTGTTTCCCAAGACAGAGCTCTTTAGTTTGAGTTATAAATTTAAATACATTTTTTTTACCCTGTCTAAATTTTTCTGTTTAATTCAAACAAAATTCTTGGAGAGTATGCAGGGTGAATAAAAAAAAAAACATAAGAAACTAAGAAAGTCTGTTGTGGCTTAAGGAGGAGTCAGTTTAATTTTCCTAAAATACAACATTAAGTACTTCTAAGAACAGCTATATCAGACAGAAAGCTGGTGAATTACACTGTGATTTTATCCTCTATTATTAGGCTTCTTTCAAGACTTGGAATGAGATTATTATATTAAACTGTAAGAATTAGTAGTTGTATGGATTCAAATGCATAATTATTTCAATGGTGAACATGTACAGCAGTAGTAAAGTAGTTAATATTCTTTACTTCAAAAATATTATCAATTTATTTAGTCATTAGATAATTGTTGTTAATTCTTGTAAGTATGAGTTTCCTAATGGTTATAGATTTTTATCAACTTCTGAGTAGTGACTCCTTTATTTTTGTCTGTTTAATGAATATTGGTTTTAAAGAGCATTTGAGCAAAGTTAATTTTTAGGGATGTTTTATACATGAATATGAAAATGTTAAGTTATTTATTTTTACATTTTGCTTTATGATATTAATTTTGGTGATTTTTAATTTTTTTACTGTAGTAGGTGGTTCATTTTTGTCTTTTAAGTGGATGTAGGAGCTACATTTTTTTTAAACAATATCTCGGAGTAAAGTGACCTATAACCAAGAATGTACCTACTTCAGCAAGCAATTTAGTGTCTACACCATTTTTTTCTTGTTTTTGAGTGCCAAAAGTTTACATTAACACTTAAAACATGCTTTTTACACATTCTACCTGGATTATTTTTATTATTTCCTAACAGTTGTCACCATACCGTACAAAACTTCAGTTTTCTTAGTGTTGTGGATAATAACATGGTTTGGATTAGTTTCAGTCAAAGAGACATAAATGTTATTGGACGCTGTCACCATCTGATGGGTAAATTGAAATTTTCATTCAGATGCTCGCAGTGTCTGCTTGGGTTTAAGGAGGTAGGAAAGAAACAAGTTTTTCCCAATGAATATATTGAAAGTTTATAATAAATCACATAAAATATAGTGGCACTCATTTAACCCCTTTGAGACGGGTCATGGGTGAAAGGCCATGTCATCTCATTTTTTGACTCGCATTCAAAATTTTATTGAACTACTATTTCATGAATTTATATCAATAAGTTTGGTATTAAACTGTAGATTATAATTTAATTTTTGTTCTATATATTAGTCAATTTCTTAATTTAAAAGCAAGTATTAAAAAAACACAGTTAAACATCAATTTTGTGTGTGGAAAACAGCACTGGTTCAAATTAGATGTTTGTGGATTCAAAATGCTAACTCTATAGTTTTGAATTAATTAGAAACTCAAATTACCAATATTGACAATCCAGAATATAAATTAAGAGCATCTTATCTTTTCAATTTGCTAAGATATTACTCATGTAATAAATCAAACACAGTGGCACCTTGCCCACTTCTTTCCATTTGTGGAAATGCTCCCTTATATACACTTACTTCTATACATGACATAAATAACCAATTTGGAAGCTCAATGTCCCCCTAGTGGCTTTCTGAGCCATTTTAACAGATTTGGCACCATTTCGTCCTTTTTGAACCAAATTTCATCAAGGTAGGGTGTCTTTAGTCTGCTCGAAATTTCATATATTTTTAGACTAAAATATATCTTAGTTACTAAGAGTTATAAATTATAGTGGAATTCTGTGGTATTAATG